TCTTAAATTGCTGTTGTAACATTCCTAGAGTTATAAATAGCCTCTGTCTACTACACTCATTGGTAACTTTATCAATTAGGATTTACTGATAGGTTAATTATTTAACCTTCTGTGAGGCCCAAGGGTCACCTTCATTAGTACCTTTGACACAAGGCAGGATGGACAATCACGTGAACTTCTCACATTTCCATCCGCATTTCACAACAGAAATCATTGTTGGTTTTTCCAGTTTAAGAATTAGGTGCCCACACACACTTCATCTACTTGTCCTCAATAGAGAAGAAGATACAATGTTGCCTCATGACTTTTGTCACGTACACTGTTCCCCACCTTTCAGCCTCAACACTATTGTCATCTCCTCGACCCTCTTTCTTTTATGTAAAATGTGTTCACCCACAGGACTGCAGCTGACTGGATGTTGTCCAATGTACTGTTCTGCAATGACAAACCAGAGGAAAGCAGCCATATCTGAGATACATGAAGTGGTGATCTTGGCTGCAACTTTTCCACCAATCAGACAGAAAGATTTAAACAGATGATAGTGTCCACCCCAAATAATAAATAAAAATGACCTTCTCAAACTTTCTCCGGGTGCCTTTAAACTTTATCTATTATTTAGACATGACTCAAGTGTCTCATCAACTGAGATCTACCTAAAAAGTGGTAACATACTCTTATGATTAGGCATCTCATAGGCAATGCAACATGTGTGTATTTGACACCTGTTTGTGTTTACCAGAGAGAGGTCAGAGTGCAACCTTCGACGATTAATCTCTCCCCCCACCAATGCAACAGACCCATTTCTTTTCCTCTCCCCCGTCCTCTTAGATAACTTCCGACGTTGACAGCAGTCCAATCAGTCATGTCCACAGGCAATCAATTCTGACAGATGAATGTAGCAAAGACATACTAACATGTCGGGGAAAACAAATAAGGAGTGAAAAAATTTAATATAAACAGCCAGTAAGGTTTAGGTAGGACATCCTGGCAGCTCTCTGCAGAGATAAGAAATGAAAAAAAAAACAAAAAAACAAATGGGAGTGTGAGTTGAAAGACAGATTTGATGGAACGCAGGACCTGTCTCATGTCATTAAATCCATACTGCCCTCTAGTGGTGCACCAACATCTCCAACACTTTTCATTTGTGACCGCTACGTTTTACTGCAATGTTTATACATAAAGCAACAAGTAAAGAAAAAACATTGTGGTGACTGAACTTGAATTTTATACATAGTGTCTAGCTGTTGTATATTCCCTCAGCAGCCTGTGTGTGTGTGTGACTGTGTGTTTCTATCTGCTTTTTTATGACACATACTCTGCATACTGTATGTTCAAGATTAGTACTTGTATACTGTTAACTTAATAATAATAATAACAACATGACAAGCTGAGAATACAACAGGTAGATTTAGCCTTTGGTGTTGGGCCCTGCAAAGTCGTAACGACAGAAAACATGTCACAGTAAGAAAAGCACATGATAAAATGAATGATGGCTTAAGTCCAGTAATATGATTCAGTTTAAGGGTTATTGTGCGTGCTGGCTCACTGGGACACTCGAATAGAGCAGAACCATCATTATTAGTAAGACCTGTGCTTCTCATACTATGACAAGTCAAAATGTGTGCTGTGAAAAGCGTACTGGTAGACATGAAGGGTTTAAACCTGTCTTGCACAGGGAGCTTATCCCAGTATCCTAAAACAGCCACCCCCCTCCCATCCATTATGAGGAGGACTGTGCCTCCCGGTTGGACCAACTGACAGGTCACAAGACCTTACTTCCAATTGCCACTCCCCTCCCTCCACTGCGTGGGAGCTGTCAGACAAGTTCGACCGATTCTGTGATACAAAGCCAGTTAGGCTAGCATAGCACAATTTGATTTTGAAGTAATTTCCAGCCCACAGTGGCCTGTTGAGGGTTTATTGAATAAAGTAAGGTTTTTCTGTGAGATGTTGAGTCAACTTTTGAAATGACTCAACATCAATATAATTTATGTCCTTACGCCCTCCCATAGTCTCAGTCAGTGGATCGATGATTAGTCATGGATTTATGCTTAACCCATTGTAGTCCTCCTTACACAAATAAGGATGCCAGTATGATAACAGGTTGTGGTACACAAGGTTTTTTCAAAATAAAGTTATTTCTTCCCCTCTCCATGGTCCATGTACTGCAACATCACCAGTCTTTGAAATTAGGAGTCACATAAGTTGTTCAAAAACACTTTATCTTTCTTTGTGCATTTAAACACACTTTAAAACAACATTAAATACAAAACAGCAAATGACCTTTGGTCCTCGTAAATCTCATAGTGTACAGTACATTCAGCAGCATCTTTCAACAGCTGTTACCAGAAACACCCAGTCCTGACCGACATCCACGAACAATCCTTTTACAGTCACAAGAAGGAATCTGCCTTCCTTCTCCACAATTCAGGATTAGCATAGAAGGAGACACGGATTCCTAATTCCTCCCAATGAAGCCCATTTTTGGACATAAAAAGAGGGATCAGTCATTCTTCTCTCTCTTCTCTCTGCGGGCCTTTCGCTTGAGCTGGAGAGTCTTCAGCTCCGTCATAGTGGAAATGGTCCTGTACACCCACACCATCTACAAACATTCAAATAAACAGGTGCTTATACTTGTACTTTTTTTAATAGAGCCTGACCAATATCGGTTAATTTGAGCTAACTGCAGATAACATGGCACGGTGTTTATAACAGCCGAAAGATGACAATTACAAAAGAAACGGAGAGAGTGATCGCACAATCATGTTATAAGTGTTATAATTGCATAGTCAGTCCACCAGAGGGCAATCTGCAACTAAACTGGATTATGTCATATAATCTTGTGAGGTCTCATAACTAAATATATCAGTTTATTTCTGCTCAGCATTATTATCGGACTCATTGTCCAATAGAAAACAAACTACATTATAAAAACATAAACAAAACCTGATATTTCGGAATGTCAGATTTTCAAATCCTCAGATATAAAAGTCAGTCTCAGTCTTAAAAATCCTGTATTCGTTGGGCTCTAGTTTTTAACATTTTATTTGATATGAGAAGGATGAGGTGAAAAAATAAAGCTTACCACAATGATGACTGTATTCAGCAGAAGAGGAATAGAGTAGACCAAAGATATGAACATGCCCTTGGAATCAAAGTACTGGAAATTAGAAAAGGACCTGCAAAAAGAATAAAGATTAATGAGATTTTCTTAATTAATGCATGTGTCCTGTTTTCGAACAACAGAGCCTTTACACACACACACACACACACACACACACACACACACACACACACACACACACACACACACACACACACAAACACGTGTCATTCCACAAACGAAACTAACAAAATTAAAAATTGCTGATTGGTCTTACTTCCAGTTCATGGCTGCCAGCTCATTTACATATTCAGCAGTGTACACCAGACCAACTGTGGATAGAGGATAACACTTTATTGACTCCCAAGAGAGACATTTGGCACTAACAGACCACAGAGGTAGGTAGAAGAAAAATATATTAAAAATAACAATAAAATTAACTACAGTACATCAAACCTAGTGTGTATTATTAAAGTAATGTATGTAGAATTTACACAGATAATAAAGAGACAGAAGCCTTTTAGTACTGCCTTTTATTCGCCTGTACACAGCTTTTCATTTACTTTTTATAGTTTTTTGTCATGTGTATATAATTTAATGCTGTAAGCCCCTACATTACCAATTTTTAAATGCTCTTATGAAAAATGTTGAGAAATACACCCATGTTTTACATGATGCAATCTAGGCCTGGGCAATAAAACAATAACGCTAATTATCGCAATAACATTTTTCCTCAATAACAATAATATCTCAATAATATATATATATATAATATAATTATATAATAGTTTGATAAATGTTTGATTTAATTTATTTGAGCACTTAATTTTTCTACTATTGATTTTATTGAGGAAAAGGGAGTGAAAAGAGATTCTACTTAATTTTACTCATGACAACATTATGATTATCATAACTGTTTGAATGTTCTACCACAGATTTGTTAAGTGATCCACAGTTTAACACCACAGTTAACCATCTGATTTCTTCAACTTTCACTCAGGAGCAAAAATCAGCCTTTAAACATGATTTGACATTTATTGTGACAATTATCAATATAGATTTTTTTTTATCCTCGTAATATTTTTGGCCATATAAAATACAGGTATGTGACAGGAAACTGTGAAACAAGAAGTTAGTCGTTAACTTACAACTTAGTGATTACTAATGAGACAGTATTTCGCCATACGTCATGTCATGTATGTGAGCTACTTTTACTCGATATCAATCAACAGTCTTCATTAAAGCGAATCATTGTAACGTTAGGTATTTTTTATTCACTTACCCATGAGCAGGAAGTGGCATATCTGAGCTCTGTAATACCTGCAGGTCAGTACAGTCAGGAACAAACACACAACATGAAACACCAACAGACCGATAAGCCAAGGTTCCGACCACTGCACCTACGGACAGTAAAAAAAACAAAACAGCATCAAGCAACTGTCCCTTGAACTATTAATTTAAGCTGAATATGACTGTTCCAAACGAGTAGCTGTGATTAATTAAACACAATCGATATATTAGCCAAGATAGCTAACTGCTAACTTAGCTATTTCGCCGCCAGGCAGAAAATCCTATTTAACTTACAGACATGAGAAACGTCCATATCGAAGTAATTCTTAAATTGCTGAACCCATCAATGGGGATAGAGCTAATATTTTCCGCTTTCTGGTCCGTCATCTTCACAAAACCCTGCTCAGCCGAGCCTGCTGTCTGATATAAACACGGATGTACGGACAGAGCACTTCTGTCGCAGTAGAATTACGTCATAGAAACGACCGAGTGTAGGTCTTCTTCTTGGAGTTTCTTTTGGTGGTTGGCAAACAACAAAATTGTGCATTACCGCCGCCAACTGGTATGGGAACTAGATCAGATCCGCCGCCGAACACTTTAATAATAAATAAAATAGATAACATTCATTTTCTGGACGTCTTGGCTGAAACATTACATTAAAGTTTAATTAGTGTGAATGCTGATTCAGGAAATCCTTTCTATTCTGACCTCTGACTTCTTACCATCTTCCATGACTTTTGCATAGCCTACTTTCAGCCACAGAAACCATTCAAATGTCAATGTAGTCATAGAGTGCACTCTTATTAAAATTCAACCAATTAATTAAAATAATAATAATAATAATCTGGATAAAGTCTCTAAGTTCTTAAAAGAACTAGAATACACAGAGAGGAACATAGACATAAACACATAATATAAACGCAGCAGTTTGGCAGGTCTAGACGCAGAATGGGCCACATCAGGTCCGGATTCTGTGTCTGCGTGGATTCTGAGAGAAACAAACATGAGCACATCGCTCTCAAACACTGCCAGGTTGTTCACCAGTCAAGAGCTGTGAAACAACAGCACGACTCTGTTGTTAAATAAAAAGGAAAAGTTCCAATGCATTCTCTGGCGGACCCGGATCAGCTGTTAGCTGTAAACACACCACAGGGCTAACGCTAAGGTTGCTATGTGGCTGTGTTTTAATGTTTTAATGACCCTTACCGTAATCTTATTTTACTTATTAATTTTGCTTTGTTAATGTTTGTATGTTGTTCCTACCAAATGAAAAAAAAATGTAAAATTCAGTCTTGTCTCAGTTAAAAAAAACATTGCTATAGGTGGTGGTCTTATGTTTCTTTTAGGGATAAGTATTAAATGAGCCCCAGAGCTAAATTATTAAAGATTGTTATTGATACGCTGCAACGTTACTGTTTTTTTAAAATCTCTGCTTCTTAAGCTTTAGTTTAACTTAGTTTAATATAATACTGCAACATCTGCCTCATACACACCAAGCAAAGTCAGCAGACCTTAGCGCTGAAAGGGCAGAGGGTCCAGTAAAGTCAACCAGGTATATTCCTCTTATATAATAAATACATTTAGTCATTTAACTTGTGTTTTTATCCAAAGCGACTTACAATTGCTATATATATGTTAAAGGTAGCACACCTCTGGAACAACTAGGAGTTAAGTGTCTTAGGGACACATTGATGTGTCACAGTTGAAATTGAACGCAGGTCTGACACCAAAGGCATGCGTCTTATCCACTGCTCCACAACCAATAAGTATGCTCATTACTGTATGTAGACTTATTTAGCTTTGGGGTATAGTTTCACATTTTACACCCTGCGAAACCATGTTTTAATCCCCACTGACATTAATTTTATTATTTCTAAATGTACCTGCTTCTCCCTGCACTCACTCACTCACACCTTTACCTCTGGTCTCTCACTGCAAACACACCGGCTTTCTCCGGCTCTCTCTCTCTGTCTGCTCCCCTGAGTTTCTCCATCAGCAGTAGGTTATGTTTTATAAAGTTGCAGAAAAGACACAGAACTCGTAATTTTTCTGGATATTTTCACCCATGATCCTTTTTCACGGAAGCATGTGCACCGCATGCCAGCTTGTTAATTACGTAGCCTATCAATGTCATTATCCATCCCACTGATTCATTGTTAACATCGTCCAATGCCAGAGTATGAGTGTGTTCTCTAAATTAAATGGAGTTTGGTACAAACAGTAAGTGCATTAGTTTAAAGGCCCGACCAGAATCTCGGTGACGACTCAGGGCTAGTTCGTGAACTTATTTAACTAAGTAGGGATGGGGATCGAGACCCGGTTCCAACATTTCTTAAAACCCGAAAATCAATAATGTCCGAGCTTATCAATATTGCTATCAAGACTAGTGGGTCCTATAACGTTATGTATCAAGCGACTAATCTGATTTATCTTGAGACGCGATGAATAAGAAAAGTAATGTTTTTAATGATGGTACCGAAACGGGGTATTAAACGGGCCCAGGACTGTTTATCATCAGGCTGCAGCCTCTGCTGCTTTTACACGCACACACACACACACACACACACACACACACACACACACAGCGGCCAGCAGAGCGAGATGTCGCGGTGGAGACGGTGAAGTTAAGTTCGCTCCAAACTACTTGATTTGTCGACATCTACGCTTGTTGGCCTACTGTAAGTATGTGCAATAAAACCTTGGAGGCATCATCCCCATCCTGCAGCACCTTTAAATATAAAGGTGAGCGGTGTCCAGGAGAGGGTCCCTGTCCTCCAGTCTGATCAGTCCTCTGACTCCTTTTTTTCCTAGAACACCTGGAGGCCTGGTCCTGTCTGCTGCTCCGCAGAGAGAAGTATGACCGAACACACCTGAAGACTTGTGTTAGAGACTCCTGGGTCCCCGTTAACGTCTCTGTCTGTGTCCCAGGTCCAGTGAGGAGATGTTGAAGATGGTCCTGAGTCGTCCCTGTCACCCTGAGGACCAGTTCACCACCAGCATCCTCAAACACTTGGCGTCCAATCACGACAACATGCTGAGAGAACACATCAAGGCCCAGCTGATCAAGAACAACAACCAGCCCCGCAAGAGACAGAAGTGAGGACAGATGGAGACAGAGGTGAGGACTGACAGGTGAGGACAGTCATACGAGAACAGAGACAGACAAATGAATGAGGAAATATAGGACAGAGGTGAGGACTGAGTGGTGAGGATGGTCTCTGGGTACCTGTTGAACAGTAGTTGTGTCTCCGTCCTCAGTCTTTACAGTTCCAGCAGTCAACTGGCTCAGCTCACCCTGGAACAGATCCTGGAGCTCATGGACAACCTGAGGCTGAGTCTGAGCAACACCAAGAACAGCTGTCAGTACACAATGGCTTATTGATCGCTTCAGGAGGGATTGATAACTGATAGCTGATAATGTCTTCACTCAGACCCCGATCTTTCAGGCTCTGCAGCACGTTCAGGCCAGCTGTGACGAGGTCCACAAGATGAGGCACGCACGCTCTCACACACACTGACAGGTGACATCACTGCGGCGGCTGATATCACTTCCTTCCTTATCACATTAAATTTGATATTTAATGTGTCTGATTTGTGAAACCAGGCAGCAGCTTTGTGTCAATGTCATTGTCCAACCCAGTGTTTCATTGTTGACATCGCCCGATGACAATTTTGTAGACATCACTATACCCTATATTTGAATTTTGTGACTGCATTTCCTTTGTGCGTTTCTTTTTTTTAAAGTCGTGATATAAGTCTTAAATTTCATTAATGATGGTCTTAAAAAGGTCTTAATTTTGACCTGAAACCCTGATTGTTCCATTACCTCGTCTACCTGACTTAAAAATTTGCATAGTGTGGAACTTCTTATTTTGAACAATCTTTATTAGCTATCTTAATTTTCTTATGATTCCATATTATGCATAGTCTCTTTTTCCACAAAACACAGTAAAGTAAAAGGAAATTTTATTTAGCTCAAGAGATTCAAGTTATTATCACTTAACACCAAAAAATCTCATTAACCATCAGTGAATCAATGTAATTTAATATGCAGAAATTAGGTTTTTCTCAAAAGTGTATTTAGTTTACTCAAAAATATTACCACTACTTAAAAAGTTTAAGGTAATGAGTTTCCACAAATATATTGATTATTCTGAATTTATTCGGGTTTACAGTATAATTATATTTTGCATCTTTCCCAACTCTCCTTCAGCTACTTCTTCACACAAAAGTTAAGCCAGCAATTCAGTATAGCGCCATTCACAATGTCTCTAGTTTAACCCGAGTTTCTCAATCAGGTCTCTTCTCCAATCTTCTCTGGATAAGAATCATTACATGTTCTGAAGTTTAAATTAAATGCAATTCTGATTTTATTCACTGAATTCTTTAAAGCCTCTGTAGATATCTGAATGAACTTGCGGTGACTTTATTTTAATTATCAAACAGTAAAGACTTGTACATAAACTCCTTTGTTATCTTAAATTCCTCCCACGCGACCTTCCTTTCAACAACCTAGTTACTTTCATCTGAACTGTTTTCCTCTGGGCCCCTGGGACTTTGTGTCATTGAGTTAAGGCGGGCTATATACATATGGTCATAGGACCTATTGGCAGTGGAGAGCAGTTTAAACAGGAAACCTAAATAAAATCTGAATAACCAATGACCCAATTTTGGTGCACAATTTATTAACATCCATCCATCCTTAACCACTTATCCTGCGTACAGGGTCACGGGGGGCTGGAGCCAAACCCAGCTGACATCGGGCGAAAGGCGGGGTACACCCTGGACAGGTCACTAGTCCATTGCAGGGCCACACACAATTTATTAACATTTTATCCCAATACCAACTTACAAATATGACTTGCAAAACCTTTTAAAAAACTGAAGAAACTCTCACATGTACAGACACACTGAAATGTTTGGGACTACCTTCAAAAGTCACACCATTACCTTTCAGTCGGAGCATCCTCTTAAACTGGTAAAAAAAAAACAAAAAAAAAAACAACTTGATCATTGGTCTAGTTGCTCCACTCTGAAAGGACAGGTTGGCCTGGTTTCTTACTCATCCTTTGCGGGTCTGCATCTTTTCAGGTACTTCTCTGGATCACTACCCTGTTCAGTTTTTCCTGCCTGTAAGAGGCGTCTGCCCTGATTCACTTTCTGCAGCTACATTAAATACTCCTGTCCTGCTGCAGGAGCCACAGTCCCAAATTATTCCTCTGCTCACATGCAAACACCAGCTAAATAACTTGATTAAAAAACAAACATTCAAGTGTTAAAAAAAAGGCACATATGTTTTGTAGTATCTAAGCCTGGGGTAAATAAGTGCATGAGCAATATGTGATTTAGACTTAAATGAGTAAATACAGTACATTAAGAATGAACAGCAGAACATCATGACTTAATAACATCAACAACCTGTCACAGTAGGAAAATAACAGGTGTTAATGATGAAATAAATGATGGATGGGACAGTTCATTGGAACATCATGAATGTTAAAAGTAACACCTTTTGCTTTTTCTACTTTGAACAGTCAAAATGTCTGCTGTGAAAAAGGCCCATTTCACAAAGGCATGACTTTAACATGTAGATGCCTACAGCACAATAAGCATATTATGACTGCAAGTTGTGAAAAATGGATATAAAAATGCACAAATCTTCTAAACATTAAGTCTTTGGTCAGTGTCCCTGGGTTGACTGATATGTACAGTGAAGAAATTGCAGGAGATGCATGGCGCTCAGGTCGTGTTTCTGCCTGGGTGAAAGTCAGGCACAAAAGTAGTGACCACTGTGATCGGGGTAGAGTAGCCTAGGGCAAAATTGTACAGACCGAGCATAAGGCACTTCCAAGTGGAGCGCAGTGCCTTGCCAACATTCTGAAAAAAGACAAACATACAGCCGGAAATCAATCATTAATTCTGTAGATTATAGCAATGCAATCATCTACATTCCAAGTAATCTGCTCTGTGAAAGGTTTCCCCTTTACAAAACCCCTCACATGATCACAATCATGTTTATTCCCACATTATTCAGACGATCCAAAGCTTTGTCATTGATTTTTGACAGAATTAGGTTAAACAAATATGGGAATCAGGAGTTGACATGAGATCAGGCAAAAGCATGGTGTTTTAGAACAATAGCACCCCAGGAGGAGAGGTGCAGTCTGTATTTATCCCTAAATGTAAACAAAAAGTGCCGTGAACACTATTGTCTCCTGTGCTCTTTGGACAGGAAAGGGCTGACCGGCTGAAGCGGATATAGGAAGTTAGATGTTTTAGAAAAATAGTGCAAGAACAATCGTACTTCCTCTATGTAGTAAGTTAAAGTGACTCTTTTTACTAGCTGAACAAATTAATAACTTATGATTTATATAAATTATTTAGAGTCCAACCACCAATCTAAGAAGATAGATAAGTTTGGTAAAAAAGAAGGTACAGATTAGTACTATTAGTCAGTGGACATTTTAAAGATTAAAGATTTATACGTCTAACTACCACGTCCAAGGCCAATAATAAACTTTCACACTCCCAGTATTAAAAGTAGTCCGTCAGCATGTTCTGACAGATTTATGTAGGCCATGAAAAACTGATAAGAGTCTGTTCTGTTACTGTTCAGTGTAAACAAGAGCACCTCATCAGTGATAAATGTGTTGTGTCATAAACATGTTGGTTTGGATCAGATTTCATCAGCCATTTCCTTACAAATTACAAATAAATCAAGTCAAACAGTAAAAAGACTGAGGTTGTGCGAATTAAGGATGCTTTGTAGGTTAAAGGCAAATTTCATTATTTTTAGTGCATTCGCTTTCTGGTTTCAGTTTTTCACACTCATCAGTTTATTGGAATAATTAAAATGAGGCTGATCGATTGATGCCATTTTGAAAACAGTTGTTTGAGTTGACGTTTCAACTTACCTCAATTGAAACTACAAGAAAAGAAAAGTTGGATCAATTCAGGTAGCCTTCTACAAGTTCATCGCTGGAAAATTGCACATTGCAAGCAAATCCTTAAACAGTAGCTACTTTTACTTTAAAAGCTACATCCTACTAACTCATTGCAGTGTAAGTATGACTTTACTCATTTATGACTTGTTTACCTGACATTTGACAACCAATAAGACTGTTATAAACAAACATGCCTGGTCACTGATTAACTTATTGGAATAATGTTGTTTGAAGTCATAGATGGTAGTTAATCAATCACACTTGGCCATGGGTTATAAAGCAGTTGTCAGAGGAGCTCTCCTGGCCCTGCCACCTGTACAGACTGGCACGGATTTATCAAGAATTGAAAAGGGTAAAGCTGAATTATAAACATTCACACCCAGGTATAAAGTGATAATTGCAGGGAAGAGTTAAGACAGACCAGGAAGTGGACAATTTTGAACTGTATGTCCTGACCTCTAGATTGTTTGTCAGGATGTCCTTCTTCTCTGCGTCAGCAGGCCGAAGAAGTGCCACATATGAAGCTTTAAAGCTCTTTAGTGAGAATAATCTCTGGCTTTAGTCTGGCTGGGTCAGCGTGAGCCCACAAATCAAACAATCATCCAAGATGAGTGCTGCTGGTATTATTTTGTTATACTGTGACCTCAATAAGCCTGATTTTAGGCAAAATGGGGACACACAGTACCTCTGTAAAAGTGATATTTTCCAAATAATTTATAGCATGACAACAGGTTTGTGCGGATGAATTTCCCTGAGTTTTTGCAATAATTAATAATCTACTGCAACAATTTTTTTGAAGCTCATTTATGTCATGTTAGTGGTTTCAGTGAAACTATTATGAATGTGGTGAAGGAGGCATGTGGTTGTTTTTCTTGTGAGGCCCTCGTGTTTGAAAAGCTGTACTTTATTGTTTTTGTGAATTTTATCATGTTGTATATGTAGCATTTTAATTTATTATGTTTATGTATGGCTGCTACCTTGGTCAGATTTCATTTGTAGAATAGATTTTTGATCTGGTAAAACAAGACTAAAATAAAAAAAATAGGAATATACACACATGAAAGTTCACTGAATAACATTTTAAGAAAATTTAAAGAGAGAACACTAACCTTCTTTACTTTCTTGTACATTTCTTTTCTTTTCTTCTTCTCTTCTGTAGCCTTGGCTTGTGCCTCGTCATCAATCAGTGGCTCATACCTCTCTGACACAAATGCAAGATGAATTTCTCGGTGGGACTTCTCATTTTGTCTGCTGTTCTCTGCAGCTGGATGGTCGTCACTGTCACTAGAGTGATACACACTCTCTTGGTGATCTGCACAGTCCACATGGCGCTGATATTTCGCCGCTTGTACGTTCAGAGTCTCTGCTCCTGCTGGATTCCTGTCAAACAACCTCGACGGAAGAGATTTGGGCTTCATGTTGCCTGCTTGCTGCAGCTCTCAGGGATGTGATAACAAGTACCGCTTTCCCCAGGACGTCAGATTTGTTGTCACTCGATGTTATTGTGCATGAGTGGAAGTGCATTCCAGTTGGACCGCCTTGTGTGGAGAATTTGGCTCAGAGCCCTTAAAGGTGCAAATCCTTCCTCCTCACAAGACTGACCTTTAAAGTCAGGGCAAGTTGAATTCAGATCCACATCAAAACAACTTTCATCCCTTGAGAAGTGAGCAAAGCTGAAACATCAAGATTCTGTGTTTACCATGTCATGTCACAAAAACACCCTTCAGTTTGAGAAAGACTTGAGGTGGAAGCACTCCACTACAAACCTGAAATATACTTAAATGTGCAAAGAAACACCACTAACACTACATTTGTCTCTTAACGTGTGGTTTAATGAAAATTAAATATTACTTACAGTGACATCATTAACTTCTTCAATGTGCCTTTAAACAGGTATTTTGGCAGGGGATATAAAAATACTTCGCCTCCATGTGCAGTGCCCCTCAAACTAACAGTGCCAACATTTTATTGGTGCTTGAATGCAGCACTATAGTACAAAACAGTTACGGGACTGCCTACTAAACAGACCTTTGAACAATTATTACCTTTTGAACACAGAGGAAAAAAACAAAAACAAAACAAAAACTCTGATGGGAACAGAACAACATGTGGCTGCACTTTTGCAACACAAATGTTCCCAGAAAATGGCACACAACCCTATCTTGCCCTGATTGGTGGAGGGTCTTAACGCCTGCTAGTGGTCTCATTACCTCATTTGATTTTATATTACGAGCTAGCTATATTACTGGTCCTCGTCGTCTTGACTTCTTTGTGCATTGTTGTTTTGGCAGCGGTCTGGATCTTTCAGACGGAGGATGCGGATTATCTTACTCACTGGGAGAGAACTGGGAAAAAAAGAAAAGATGACAACGGGACCTTTCAGTATAAGTAGCTTGTGCTCTTTCCAAGGGAAACTAAGCGGCATATTAAAATCACATGGCCTTTACTCCTGAAAGGATTACTTAGTCACAGCTAATTTTCTAAGTGAATATACAGTAACTAAGTCAATAAAACACATCTTGGTGGTCCAACTGCTTTGATATAAAAGCATATAAACAAACAGATGTATCAGTGAATACCTCATGCTTTGTGGGGTGAGGAAAATGAACTGTCTGTAGCGCTGACCAGCAGCCACCTTCAGCATCATGTCCATTGATATCCTCCTGTTCACCATGTCCTGATCGAACAAAACATCTTTTTAATAAGACTAAACACAGTGAGACAGTTTCTTCAAGTGTTATACAAAGTCAAGGACCCCGCATAGGAGCTTTCCCCAAACCTGTCTCTTATTACCATGTAAACATCAAACTCGTCAAGGCAGCGGAAAGGCGCCTCTGTGATGGCCCACAGAGAGAGGACAAAGCACACAGTGGAGAAGGAGCGCTCGCCTCCGGACAGGGAGCGCATGTCACTCAAGTCAGCCTTGTTTCCCTGGCCTGGCTGCACCTACAGAGGAGTGGACGAGAAACCACTTTTGAACAAGAAAATCTTTGCTGTGAGCATTTCATGCAACACCACCTGGTTAAAAAAAAAAAAAAAAAAAGCTGTAGCAGTTATGTCTCGCTTTTTTATGAGTCATGAGCGTCTACAGTTCACAAATGTTAAACAAAATAACACCTCATTGTACGTTTTTAAATGGAAAATGAAGACTGAATCAAACATTCTGCTTACTGAGATGGAGAGGGTTTCATTCTTGTGGTCAAAGGTCATACTTCCAGTGTAGCCTCTTTGAGCCAGCATGCTATCAAAGTAGTATTTACAGCGGGCCGAGAGGAACCTAAGATACCAAGAGATGCAGAGGAAATGGATCAGATGGACGAGGAAGGATTAACGGGCAGAAGAATTGATGACAAATCAAGGAACACAGGAGGAGCTTCATGTTTTCTCTAGCAGTAGTAGTGTAAAGGCCAGAACACATTTCCAGGATACAATTTGTCAACAGCTTACCTCCGGAGCTCAGCATAAACCTGGAGTCTGTGGTTCATGACACTATCCAGACTTTTGATGAAGCTGTTGAGGTTCTTCATTTGCTGTGCCATGTTCTTGTAGTTCTCCAGAGCCTCGTGGTACTGCCTTGATGTGGGAAAGATGGACAAGTGGGGAAAATGTATGAGACAGGAAGGTTTACAAGTTAAAATGAATAAACTGATGTTTGTGGTTGCTGAAAGTTGTCTAGTCTAACATATGTAGGAACATTTCAAATAAAAGTCTAAGTAACATACCTCACAACCTCCTCCCGGTCACCCTGTTGTTCCTGCTGGGTCGTGATCTTAACCTTGAGGCGGCTGATCTCACTGTCCAGACTCCTGGCGTTCCGTCGTCCTTCCAGGCGCTTGGGACAGATTTCTGTGGCCTTGGCGACAGATATCTGAACCCCAAGGGTTAAAATGAATGATTAATTTCTGAGAATCAATTCAGGTGAAACTACAATGTACACAATCTAGCACATTAATTTAATAGTTATCTTAACTCACAAAAACAAGGTATACTTTAGATCATCATTGCTCCAAGGCTAAACATGCTCGTTACTCTGTATTGCCGTGTGCATATAATGAAAAGTATTTGACTGCTCTCAAACTTCTAGGACCGACACCATTACTTCTACTGAAAGCGTACAGCTCCCCCTCTGTTTTTCAGGGTTTCTGCAGTGTTTACCTAGTCAAAATTAAGACTTTTTAAGACCACTATGAATGAAATTTAAGATCTACAATCACATCATCAACAAAAGAAATGTAAAAAGGAAATGCAGTCACAAAATTACTTGCAGAGTGAGTAAATGTATACAAATTAGGGTACAGTGATGTCTACAAAATTGGCATTGGATGATGTCAACAATGAAACACCGGGATGGACGATGAAATTGATAAGTGCCGTGAAAAAAGGATCACGGGTGGGAAAATCCAGAAAAAATACGAGTTCTGTCTTTTCAGTAACTTTATAAAACATTACCTACTGCTGATGGATAAACTTAGGGGAGCAGACAGGGAAACAGAGACAGATAGAGGCGGGGAAAGCCGATGTCTTTGCAGTGAGAGACCAGAGGTAAAGGTGTGTGTGAGAGTGAGAGCAGGGAGAAGATAAGTCAAGGTAGGCGCAAAGCAGGTACATTTACAAATATGTTTTTATATATATATATATATATGGTTAGTTTTTTGATGCTCTCCACAATGATTTTACATTCATGACGCAGCATCAAGCAGTTTTCAGCCTCACCACCTTATGACAGGAAAACCCTGTTAATATGACATCAGAAATATTAGGCCTACAGATAGGACTGTTCATGTTTGCCTTGTGTGTCTTAATTTACTGCTTTATACTTTTGTAGAAATTAACAGACAGGCAACATGAGAACCACCTTCCTTCTGTATTATTACAAGCATTTCATTTGTACATCAAAATCTAAAAGAATAATCTCCTCATTAGCTTAAAAGGACTAACGTTAGTTTGCATCCCTAATTTGCTTTAACGTTAATAACCTCAGCTCCTCCGTGGCAAACACTGTCCTGTCTTTTTAACGTAATGTTAATTTAACTATGAAGATGTAACTTATAGTATGTATACAGGACAGAGGTAGCGTTTCATGGACGTTGGAAAATTAAAAATGATTTAACACCTAGAACACAAACCTTCAGCGAATTTAAGACTTTTTCAGGCCTTAAATTTTGAATTTTAAGACTTTAAGACCCTACGGAAACGATCAATTGCTTATCTTGCGATTTAAATTTTTTAAATCCACCATGTCTGAGGAAGCCCCGAGCATCTTCTGTATGGCATACCTGTAGTTCCTGCTCCTTGCTTTCCAGGCTGGCCTCCAGGGTCTGTATGTTTTGGAGATGGGCACTGCGTTTTTCGTCATAGTGTTTCTTGTGATGCTTGCATTTCATCACCTCCTGATCAGTCTTGCTCAGCTCCTCCTTTAGTAGGACAAGCACACAAAGCACGACCACATGAGCTCCTGTGGGCAGCCGAGAATCACCACCAAATGACTCTGGCAGAGCAACTTTTTGGAACAATTAATACTTCTTTCAGCTGGTTGAACTTTGGTCATATGCCCCATGACTCTTGAATTTAATCCTTGATTAAGACCTTTATGTAGGGACCCATAAAATCAGTTTAAATTTTTCCCAAATTCTGTTTAAATCTTTCCATGTTTTATGATTCAAGCACTTTGTCACCCAAAAGGAGTGTGTAATCATGTGGTGGAAGAATAAAATATCAACAATGCAATAAGAAAACCGTAAAAAATTGGGTAATGAATTTGATGTATCATGCAAATATGCATTTAGAAATATTCAAATGTATGTGTAGTTATTTATGGGGACAATTCATGACAAATGTATTGTAGCAATACATGTACTGTGAATTGCTCCCTATTAAATAGGTTATTACTTGACTACTGATGATTTCTTCCCACAGATCTTCTGCAGGACAGCCTCCACTATGCTGCTTAAACACATGGTATTAAAAGCTTGACCAGACGTAGCTTTTTCATTTGTTCCAACCAAATATCTGACTCAGCCCATACAGCCACGTTTTCAACAAGCTCGAATCTTGTATCTGCTGATGTGGTTACACTTTTGAGAGTTTGTTGAAGTGACTGAGTGACTGTCTGCACTATGACTGTGTGTGTTTGTGTGTGATCGTGTTTACGCACAGGAGGCGCAGAGCCCTTCCCTGTTTTGGCAAATTCCACAATATTCTGCATTTTACAGTTGATTCCATTTTCAATATCTCTCTCTCCCGCGTTGGTGCAGGGTCCCGCTTTTTGGCAACTAGCTCTCCATTTCTTCCGGTTCAGGGCATCTTCGGGGGTGACGTTGCCGTGTTTCATACTTTCCTTTATCCGGTCCATCCACCGCTTCTTCGGCCGGCCGCATGGTCGCTTTCCCTCCGGATTCAGGCGCATTGCTCTCCTTGCCACAGATTCTTCTTCACTGTGGACTGCATGGCCATACCATCTAAGACGTGCTTCCCTCATCATTTCTATGTTCAATGCAATGCCCCTGGTTTTCCACTTTCATTATAAAAATTCTGCAATTCAGTCTCTGTTTTCCGCATCGTATTTACATAAAGGTAGGGACCTTTATGTAAATAAGTAAA